GTTGAAGTGTGTTGCTGTTCACCCAGTTATTTAACAACAGTATATTTCAGCAGTTGTTTTGTGGACAGTAAATAAAAATGCTGTTTGTTTTGCCTTAAGGCCCTTCTTACTGAGCACCAAAGATATATAGTCAAGTAATTAGTGAAACCTCGAATCTTACAAAGTAATTAGTTACTTTTTAAGATGGGACCTTATTATGGAATTGGGTTGTAGAGGGAAAATTTGTGTGCAAAATGTGATATAGTGGAATACATTTATTGTATCACTGAAATTTGTTATTTTTGACTGTTTTCAGTGGCAGGGTGAACACACTGTGTCCAGTAAACCTGAAGCAGCATTTGCAATAGCTGCAGTCATTGAGGCTCTATGGGCAGATTTTCCAGACTTTGGAGAACTTATTTTAGGGCACTTTTATAGAGAATGTCCTTACCTTGTTCCCATATTCATGCCACAGGTGGAAGGTCAGTCCAATGAGGACTATTACAGGTAAGCTATCTTGATTTTTAAACTGTTATTTGTATTTAAAGGTATTGTACAGATATTAATCATGTATTGAGTTGTTTCAAGTTGTTGAACTTGCAAGTGAGAAAAATTAATGCCGCTGCATCATAAAGTTGCAATTTACTTTGTATTCATTTGTTACATTACCACTTGTAACCCATTTGGTGATTTGTTAGGATGATAAATAGTGTGTGTGATAGTGGTGTGGATATTCATGGCAGAAATTATTGTGATACAGCCGATTGGTTATTGGCCAGTGAAGTCATTGTATATGTCTGAGACTTTAGTCAATGTAGGCAGTATTAATTGTTCATTTATCACTAATAAGAGCAAAGTTGTTTTGTTTAACGCATTCTGAACAATGCTGATTAAACAGCATTGATTAGTAGGATGTTTATGAATGATAAATTGAAAAAGATGTGAAAGAATGCAGTCACAGCCTATTTTAATGTAATATTCTAGCATTTACCTGAAGGGACTGAAAAACAAAATAAAACTTCAGCTGATATGTTGAAGTAACCTGCTTCATATCAGGATGTTACAAGCACAGTTCCGATACAGTGGATCAGCCATGACCACAATTTTTGCTGCTTTATTAAGGGCTGTGTTCTATTACAGGTTACTGGGTTATCATTACAATGAAAATGGTGAGGTGGAGAAACAAGACAAATTTCTAAAGCGTATGTCTGGAATAATGCGATTGTATACTGCAGTGCTAGTAACGCGACCATGTAGATACCAGCAGAACAAGAGTCATCCCCATGGACTTAAACATGCTTGGCACTGGATCTCATGTATACTCAACATGGGTAAGTAGTTTCTGCTTCATCTCTTTGTGTGTCAGATCACAAATTAGAACTCCTGTAGGATGTAACTTTGAATACATCATCTCTGTAGAGGTTTTAAAATTCTTAAATGTGTTTTACTGTATGTTTTCTTTATAAGCTGTACATGCATTTTGCTTTGACTTGAGGGCTGTGATTTTGGGACTGTTGGTGTGTTTCTGTTGCAGCAAGTGATATATTGTAACTGTGCTCTCTTTTCTGCAGATCCAAGACCTGACATCTGTGCAACTTTGCTGTATGATTTTCTGGAAGTAGCAGGCAGTGCCATGTACTCTCATTATGGACGGCAGTTTCAGAAACTTCTGCATCTTATTTGCAAAGAATATTTCCCAAAAATTGAAAAGGTATTGTTTGTAGGCTTCAGAGGACGGTTCTATTAGAGATGCATTACTTACTTGGAGATATCTTATCAGAATCTGCCTTCCACCCAGCAATGATGACAGCTTCATTTGAGCTAATATAAATACATGTGTGTTATTTACTTCATATTGCTTCTGCCTATTGGTCCAATATTTTAAAGCTGTAGTTTGCTTTTACTGAGAGTGATATATAAAATTTAGACTATTTCTCCTTTGGCTGTGCTAATAGTTGTCACAATCTACACAGTTCTCAAGATTGTGTAATATCAAAACTAATTATTATCCTTTGGGATGTGTAACTGTTATGCCACTGTTCAACTTATGTATTTAATTACTTAATAACTATTAAGATTAATTAAATACCCAGACCAGTTCCAAGGAATCTGTACAATAGCAAATCTTTACTTCCAACAACCAAACTAGTTTTTCCTTTCTTTAAAATGTCCGCCAATAATAACAGTACTTCCTAAATATTATTTGAGTTTACCTGCTGATCATATTTCTTTTTAAAAGTGTGAAAAAGTCATCACAATCATTTGATGTTTCAGTCATCACACATCTTCTCCAGTCTTCTTTCCTTTCCCATGAGTGCTCCTCTTTTATTCTCTCATATGTTTCTATTTCTATACTTTTTATTCTATATCTTCCCCTCACTTGTTCTTTCCACGTTGCCCCTTGTCTCCGCAATGATTTTTTAATATTTTAGTTTCTTACATTCTTGTATGAATCCTATTGCTGGCCGTGCATAACCTGTTTCCATACCACTTTATCCTTGAGTTGATTTGCTTGTAATGTTTATAATTTCAAGGTCTTATGTTATGTCAGGTAAAAGGTTGTGGTAAAATGTAAACTACGCAAAGCTTCTTAATACTAATAACATTGATCTGTAATGAATTATTATGTTTACAGGTGACTCCATCAGTTTCAAGTGGACCCGTGTGTCGACTTCAAGCCCTTTTGCAGAAGATTTTAAAGCAAGGACATATTCCTCCTCCGGCTGGTTTATTGCCATCTGATTTCTGGTGATGTGTCACATCAAGCAATATTTATTTTTGTTAGTACTGACATTGTGACATATTGACCAGTACAGAGTTAATTTCTTGTACAGTGGTAATATGATTTTTAAACAGACATGTAACCCGGATGATATATTGAACACCTGTGGATGTGCTTGAGAATCTTGTGTTTAAGAAATTATGAAGTAATATTTTACTTGTTAATATTTAATAGGATTTTATTGTGATTAGACTGATAAGATTTAAACAAGTAAAATATTACTTCATAATTTCTTAAACACAAGATTCTCAAGCACATCCACAGGTGTT